CTCCGTCCCGGCTTTGTAGGGATGCGAGGTCAATGGTCTAACGACTACGGCATGCACGACTATGAGTACACCCCCCCGCCCCCAATGTCCTCCTGGCACTGCCACCGGCATTGCCCTCTCACCTGTGCTCCGACCACAACTCCCCGCGGGGGCCCCGGTGTTTTCGGCGCGGTCTTCACCAGCTTCGCTGCCCATGACGTGTCCACCCCTTCCCCCGACTCTCTGGCCAATCGCTGCCCTCCGTCCGTCAAGGCCGGCACGGGATACTTCGCGCTTTCAACCTTATTCCGCTGTTCCATAAACACACGGGCATCGCCACTCCTCTCCGACGCGAAGGACCCCCCCCCCTTCCCCCGCCCGCCGCCTTTGCCGTACCCGGCACGGCGCCCTCCTCCCCCTCGACCGCTGTTGCCGTAGCCGGACACGTATCCGCCCGGGGACCTTCGTGCGGTCGCTTGCCGCGATATGTCGTTGGACAGCTCGGTCATGAAATCCATCGTCGGGTCGCTCTCGGGCTTCGACACACCACGGCCCCCTCCTGCTGCCCCTCTCCTTCCACCACCATCCCTACCACCGTACGCAAGGGAGGCGCCGTACTCGCTACGCCTCTGAGAGCTTTGCGATCGGCCGCCGCCACCGCCGCCGCCGCCGTATGCGCCGCGCCTGCTTCTCGCTTCGGCACCGGCGCCGACGCCCCCGCCCCCGGTCTTGTCGATGGTGCGGACGATGTTTCGCGGGATGTCGTCGAGGAAGCGGCTTCGGTCGGCGTCCAATATCTGGGCGCCGGTCTTGTCCCGCTTGCCCCAGCTCTGGCCGAAGACCATGCGTTTCTTCCGCCAAGTGAGGAACAGACGCGCCTTCGCTCTCGTCATCCCGACGTACCTACACGTGGCATGTATTAACGTTGGTTAAGTTTTGTAGTATTTCGTGGAAGCAATCAACGCGGTTTTAAAAACTGCACATCGTTTTGAGTGCGATACAACGCACATCGGTGTAATGAACAAGAGAGGTGAAGCACGGCCCTCTTGCGGTACACACATAGCGCCGAGGAGATCAATTGCGGTACACACGACAGCAGGGTATTGGTACATCTCAGGCTGAAAGGGTTTCCAGCTTACCT